ATCAGTGGATTCGCTCTGCCATCCCTGATTCACAACAGCCAATCTCTCCTATAGGTTGCCTATTCTTGAAACTTCCGCCACCGCCTTGTGCGGTACTACTGGTAGTTTGCCAGCGGGTCGCAAAACCTGAATGATTTCAGCAGCCGTTCACTGAACTCTTGCCTCCTCGAGCGTCTTTTTCCATTCTCTGGCTCCTGCAAAAAGATTTGGCCAAACATGCACAACAGTATGTGTCCAAGGCCTTCCACAGAGAATGAGATAGTAGCTATGCCAGCTATGCAAACATCACCATGGCTTTGCACTTCCTGCAATATTCTCGCCACCCAGCTGCCCCGAGCTGTCCTGGAAGATCTTAGCTCCTTCATTGAACTTCGTAGCAAAGGTACAAGAGCTTGACCTGGAACGATCAATTCACCGGCTCACCTTTGCTACCCGTGGTGCGAACTGACTGCGAAAAGAAACTGCTAGGAAAGGGAAGGCTCAAATTTGCCTCGAATGGAAAACTGTTCCGCATACTTCCAATTCACAACAGAAGATTTCCGAGCAGGTCCGTGTAGTGCAAGGCTGTATAGAGGTCATGAATCAACCCCGCAACGACCCACTGCGTATTTGTTGAGACACAGGCTTTGCATCAACTGCGTCGTCATCCACGAAGGCATAGCACACCTCAAAATCACGGGAAGCGGAAATGACAAATCTGGTCAGCCTGAAATATCGTCACACCATCTCATCATAGGGATGCTTGTTTTAACCACCAAGACTGGAAAGATTCTGGAAATCCAACACCACCTACACAGTTGCACACTTTCATAGTTTTACTTCGCACCCTAAAGACTTTACCTTAGTTTTTGACCACAGTATCCGTGTTGTTTCTCGGTTGCAACCTTTCAACAGATATAGACAACAGGGGCTCGGCAACTTGCTTGAACTTTTCACCCGCGTCCTTGTCCTGGCACGCGGCACGGGTCTGCCGGGCGTAGCCGCAGGCAGTCTTTGTTCAATCCACATGAGCGGCGGCAAAAAGCCTCGCGCCAATCACTTCTATATTATCCTACATATCTTCCACTGGCCAAGGTAGAAAAGGCAATGACCTGAACACTGAAACTTTCAGCCCAGGTCAAACCCAAGTGCGTTCCTTGTTCTTGTCAGGGTGGAATTTCAACGCCGATTTTCTGAACCTGGCATGTGCTTCTCTGGAACCCTGTTGAACCTGACCCGGCTCTGCACCAAAGCCTCCCAGACCTTCTCCGGAACCTTCTCCGGAACCCTGTTGGACGTGACCGGGCTCTGCACCAAAGCCTCCGGAACCCTGTTGAACGTGACCTGGCTCTGCACCAAAGCCTACCAGACCTTCTCCGTCCGGAGCCTTCGGACGCGGCTGCGGAATAATGTACATCGAAAATCACACGGTACTCGTAAACGCCATCCGCGGTGGGACCGGAGCCGAACCCTCAAATTTGCATAGTACTTGCTAGCACGGTTTTCGCTGTGTTCTGAAGGTTCTATGCATGGATGAAGCTCGGAGCCCCTTAAGGATGGTTTTGCTCATTCATCTCACATTAGTCAAACTGCACGGTTTGGGATGGATAATAAGATTTGAAACCTGAGAGGCGGGGAGCTTTTCAAGTTTTGGTCACAACGATTTTAAAACTCATCCAAAAGGTGGATAAACATGGATGATCAATCGTTGGGAGGGTAAAAAGTCTCACATATTTCAAGTTTTTTGACCGGTAGACCCGGTAGACCCGGTAGACCTCATATTTTGACCGATAGTCTACATGGGCTGATCCCCGTTGAATTGGTGGTGTTTCTGCTGGGATCTCAGGCGCGGAAATGCTGTCGGACATGCCGATGGTGCCGGCTTGGCGACAGCTAAGCTGTGAGATGGATCGGCCTGCGATGACATTGTGTTTCCATGTGTTTCCTACAATGACTTTGGACCAGCTCCGCAAATCGGCAAATCGCGTGAAAGGACGTGCAAAGACAAAATCCAATGATAATCACCTGCACCAATGCCAAGCTTGGTGACACTGACAGGAGTGCTGATTTCAAAGTGGACACAGGAACCAAGTGACTCGAAACGTTTTGTCTCAAGGCATAAAAGGAACTGTCGCCTTGCTCTCCTATGTTTTAGTCTATTAGAAAGGTTTGATGGGTGATATGTGACTTCGAATATGTTAATTACATGATATATTGCATGTTGTTTTTTACAAGTTACTTCCCTGCCTATCGCACTAATTACTACATGTGTATTGTAATAATATGGGAAGGATTTATTCTAAATTCAAAAAACATGCAGTAACATCAAAAGTGAAAAAAAACTGGACATTTTGAAAAAAAACATGTCATGAGCATTTTACAAGAATCATAGCTACCCGGCTAAACGATACATGGTCCCATGTCATGTGCAAAAAAAAAATATGCCAACTTTGCCGCAAGGTCCCATGTCTATAAGAGTATGGATGGGATTAAAAAAAACATATTCAAGATAAGGTTAGAA